TGCAGATTATGTAAATACAAAAAAGGACCACCAGAGTCAAAGCGGCGTGGCTTGTTTTTTTAAATTTTGACATTTTGGCATTTTTTGTCCAGGTCAACAAATCTACACCGTTCGTTCGATTTTCGAAAATGGGGTGTCAAATGAAACAGCTTGGGCATCTGAATGCTAGGACTTACCGTTAATTTTTGGAAAATTTTGTTAGATTTTTTTTTATATGAAAAAAATGCGGCGTATCCTCAACAAAAAAAAAAAAAATGCCAAAAATCAACGCTAAGTTCAAGATACTTAAAATTTGCACTTTGCTAAAATTTGATAGGCTACAAAACTGAATTCCAAAATTTTTTCTAAAGATGCGGATAAAGAAGTTAGAAACTTTGGTAAAATTTTTAAGAATTTTCTTAATTTTTGCACAAAGTCTGAAATTTAGATTTATATCCTGTTTGTTAAGTAATCAGCTATACTTTCATAAAAAAAATAATAAATAATAAAGTAAAGAAAAATAGCCAAAACTTACTAAAATATCGTGTCGGCTGTATGTCGGAAATTTTCGAAATCGGACTAAAATACCTCCACTTTCCACTAAAAAAAGGCGTAAAAAACATTAAAAAAGTAAGGTGTGTTGCTTTAAAACGTTGCGCCATGTTGGATTTTATATTCTAGCAGCTGAAGGAACGTATACTAAAAATTTCATATATTTGCACACGATTTAAGAAAAAAATTCATCACAAAAAAATTCGAAGTTTCTGAGAATTGCCCATATAGCACTCAATTTGACTTGATTGGTTTGAAAAAATTTATATGGTGTTAGAAATATAAAAAGGAAAGATATTGTTTGCGAGGTTAATACTTGTTGTTTTAAATAGGATGGACCGTGAAAAAAAATTTGTAAATAAGTCACACGCTATTATATACAGCCCATGTAAAATGGGTAAAGACAACAATAACTTCAGTGCGCTGGGCAGTTTCATGGAAGCGAATGTCTGAAAGATAAAGATTTATGATCTTATCAGTGTATAACCGCAAATGAAAAAATTTGGAAGACATCGACTTTATATGTATGTATATATGCAAGTATTATCGTGTATATATTGTACATATGTATTATCAAGTTTGTTGCGGCTTAGTTTTCGACCTCAGTACTACTTTAGCTATATACACACATATATATGTATGCATGTTTGTATGTACATAAGTACCCTACAAGACAGCTGAGTATCATATGAGTACTCATATTATCATTACTCCTAATCACAAAAGTGCTTATCAAAGTCCTCATTTTCGTTCAGGCCATGGGAAAAAATTGAGTACTTTCCCCTCAATGTTGTCATCAGAAAGTCCTCAGTACTAATAGTCAAACTACTCATTTATGCCGTACTACAAAAACAAAAGTGTAAATGTGTGAGAATTTTTGCCTAAAGTGCTCAGCAATGTCTTGTAGGGTAACTTCGCTGTTATTAACTAACTGAATCAGTGCTGGTAGCTTTTTGCGGCTTTTGTCAGTTGGCGCTTTCTTGACGACTTTGTTTTTTTGGCCATCAAGCAACAATTAGACTTTATTATTACAGCTTTAGATAAGCACAAAGAAGGCTTGGACGTTTTTTTTTTTGTTTTATTTTTGCGCTTCTTTTATGGAATGCTTATTTTTGAAAGTGAAAATCCGCAAATAAATATTTGCACTAAGCTAAAAAGTGCACGGTCGCCAGAGTAGTGCAATGTGGTGAATGGAAAGCAAATTTAAGTGAGTGTCACGCATCAAAAAACATGTGGACGTTTATTTGTAATTAAATCCTTTTTTGCTGTTTTACTTCCCGAGTGTAGGTATTTTTCTACTTACATTAGGGTGGTCCAAACAGGCATGTGAAAAAGTAAAATCGAAATTTTTATGCTCTCATCCCCTAGGATTGTTCTATACAGAGAAAATATACCCCTATTTTTTATTTTGAAATCAAAAAATATTTAGAGTTCGCTCAGAGGAAAGAAAATTTTCGTAGAAATAGTATAGAATTCTAAAAAAAACAATATTTTTCTATCGGAAAACTCTTTTCATCTGCAGAAGATGCCCAAAAACAATATTCAATTTGTTATTTAATCATTTTTTCATCGCAACTATAATTTATAGGTCCGCCAAAAACCCACAAAAATTCCGAAATTCAATGGAGGACAAATAAAAAATCGTTAGTTTAATTCTAAAATGGTTAAATAAATAATAATAATCCTGAAGCGAAACAGTTTTTTCGGATCGAAAAATATTGACTTTCAAGAATTCTTTACTATTTCTATGAAAAGTTGTTTTTCCCCATAAAAAAATACATGGACATCTTAAAGCGTTTTAAGAGACCTCTAAATATTTACTTGATTTTAAAATAAAAAATAGGGGTATACTTTTTTCGAACAAAACAATAACGATTCCGACTTTACTGTTTTGGACCACCCTAATGTACAAAAATATTTATATATACATATCTACATTTTTTTCAAATTCACTTAATGCAAATAGCTTGTGGCATGTTTTGTCGCCTCTTCTGCTGCTATTTACATATGCATACATATTATGTAAGTACATTAGAGTGGTCCACAAATTTTTTTTTCGGAGCCCCAAGCACTTTCCAAAATTTTCCTCTTACCGAAACAGGTGCTCGCACCAAACCTTACGCTTCCAAGTATACATTTAGAGGATGCTCAGGAAAAGTTTGTATTTTTCTCTATAAATATTTCGTACATATGTATATTAACCAAGCAATTGGTTTTAATCGACCTAAGAACATTTCAAATTTAAATTAGCTAAAGCAATATCACAAGCTTCAGTTGTCATGGCAAGAGTAGCGTTTTATAAAAAATCACCAATATTTTTCTCACTTTCAAAGCGTTTCAGTGGCGCATTTCGATCTCGTTGAGCACCCTGTATTGGTTACAGTAAACAATTGAAAAAATAAGGGTATGCCCGGTTTTCTACGATGTAATTTTTTCCCCGCATACAAAACTTGGACCACTCTAATGTACGTACTTCCATATACATATTGTGACATGTGCAAATTTATGGCTACCGGCTACATATGTACATATGTATGTATGGATAGAAAATTTTTTTATCTACCTTTGTAGTTACGAGTGACTTTTGTAACTTTGTTGCATTGTTAATTAAAAGCTTGACCGTTAGGTAGTGCCTGCATAAACATGCAGTCTGATCAAATGTATGCATGTTTGTGTGTGTAAGTGACCAGGTGCCCATAAAAACTTCTTCTTTAATGTTATAATAAAGGTACTGAATTTACCAGTGAGCAAAATGACACATACTCTTGTGATAAAGTGAGCGCTTCGAAGAGATAAAGGGTTAGCCACCCGAAATTTTAAGCGCCTACGAAGCAAAGGTCACTTTATGGCTTCTTAACTAATATTAATATTGAGATTGCCGCTATCGAGGAGAAACATTGGACTATGTACGCCCGGATCAACAAGAGGCAAACGTGCCATTCTAAAGACGTTGATGAAGAGTCTAATGAAATAAGTAAAAAAAAAATTGAGTTAAACGGTTGTATTAAAAAAATGATAATAATGACGTAGATGATATACTAACAACTAAATACTAATTAGGTATGTCCTAGGTACCAGTCAATTCAACACTATTCTAAAAAGTCTGGAGCATTGATCAGACTAAAAGATAAACTCTACAATCTGCCATACCCGTTTAATACCCATTATAAATCGGAATGATAAATCGTGATCCAATTAACGAAATGGCCAAGGGATAATAATACCTACCTTCTTAGGATTTAAACGTTCATGGCTACGCGGATGATATTGCCATCCTGATAAAACAATATCTCTAACCTCCAACAGAATGTGAATATTGTGGTGCAGTAAAAAACGGGTTAAACATAAACCATAAGAAGGCTAATATGGTCATTTTATCCAGCAAAAGAAAACAAGGACAAATTATTACACCCTTCCCTTAATCAGAAAAGAAAATAATAATAATAGATTGGCGCTTACATACATATATGTTAGTGTTTGGCCGAGCTTCTCCTCCGATTTGTGGCGTGCGCCTTGATGTTGTCACACAAAGCGGAGGGACCTACAGTTTTACGCCGACTCTGTTGTAGCTGTTTTTCATGGCAGAAATACACTCGTTGCCTGCTGCTCCAAAAACGTAAAATTTCTGGGAGTTAACTTAGATAATAAACTCTATTAACATGACGGAAGGTAATGAGAAGAAACCAGTGTTTCAATCGCAAACTTTCAAGTGCGTCTGTGGGAAGAAGACAGTGAAGACTATTAGAAAGTGCGACCTGCCAGAATCAAGGGATCCGACTATAGCCTCGCAAGCTTTGAGTTGCCCCAGTGTTCGCTTAGTTGATCCGATGGTCATCTTTTTTCATGGAGATATTGCTTCAAAGGTGTCATCGTACTACTCATTTACCTGCCGGTAAAACTCTGTACTCAGCTTGGAGCCTCACTGTTGAATATTTTGTGCAGCATAAAGGCTGCTTGTTGGTAACGGCTCCTCGTGATCTGATTTAAAGATTTTTTCTTTCCTGTTGAGGTTGATATATCCATGCATGAAGTATGTTGTGCTGCGTGCTATCGGTATCTTGTAGTTGATTATGTCGCCAACACTTTTAATCGTCTTCTGAATTGGAGTAGGGAGAATGTATCTACTCATCGGACTCCGTAACGACGGCGCTTGGAATAGGTTCTATTGTTTGCCACTTGTCCGCAGATCCGACACATACGTGGATAAGACAATAATACTTCCGACCTTGCTCTGCCATTGAAGGGTCAGCAATTCTATAGACATCTGTTGGCCTTTCAGCCGTCGCGTCTTGGGTTAATAGTTATCTTGACATTTGCTTCAATCGAAATATTGGCTTACATACCTCTATGGTTTTATAGCTCCCTTCGAGGTAGAAAACGACATGAAGCTTTCCTCTTAACTCACCACGTTCTATGAGCTCTATTAGGGGAATTCCCATATAAGCCCCATCGCTATGTCAAGATGAGCAGCACGGAAGGTGATAAATATATTACTCGAAATTCTTCTACTCAGTCAGATCTTAAGGCGTCAGCAACAGTAGTAGAGAGATATTTCCTGCTTTGATGGATCTAGACATTTGGTTTACCCGTCTTGTCTGACATATTTAAATGTCAATACAACAATATTCCATAAAAAATTCCTTTTTTAAGATCATCCCAACATAAAACACCCACACGAATATAACTACATATGTATGCACATATGTATATGTGAAGAGATAAATCTGATGGCATTAAGCTCGGAAAAAAATAAAAAAATTAATGCAAACCATTAAAAGTTAGTTAAACCAAGAAGGAAACAATGCTGCAGCATGCCACGGTTTTGCATACATCCATATTTGCATAACGACATGCAACAATGAAAAACTTCAAATGCAACTTTGCAACAAACAACTGAGATCATTCAGGCCACTATGGGCGTTGGGACATAACACAGATAAAAGAATTAAGTACTTTTTTTTGAATTTTTATTTTTTTTGCAAATATTTACGGCGGCGCACTGCACTTAAACAAAGTGAAGCAGGATTTAATTACTCGAGTTTTTATGTTGCAAAAGCTCTTTTTTTTTAGTATTAAGCACATGCATGCTATTTTTCTGCAAATACATGTACGGAATATTTTTTAATCATTTTATTTAATGCGATGCGTTAACAGTAGCGAATAAAATGCTTAATACAGATGACAATAAAAAAAATGCCAAATATTTTTCACTTTTTTTTTTTGTGCGGTTGTGCTGCTGCGAGCCAACGTGTTTATTATAGGAACATATGTACGATATTTCACTGATTTCTCTGGAAGTTATTTGTGTGGGTTACCAGTTTTTCTTTACACACGTACATACATACATACATACATGCAAAAATATGTATTTAAAATACCAAAATAGCTAAAGGATGATTTTGCCAGCATATTTTCCGCAGTTCTATTGTGCACATATTTGTTTGAATAAACTATAATTATACACATACATACATACAGTCGATTATTATTCGAACAGCACTGCTTTTAATTGGCCCGCTGTTTGCGATTGCGCTGTTTGTTATTGTGTCAAATATTTAAAACTTTGCAATGCACGCACTTAAATATTGAAAGCTTTAATAGGCATCCACATGCACATGCAATAGATCGTACCACCCATCTAGTAAACAAAAAAAAAGTTCCCCGTACCCGCCTTAGTCTAAAATATTTTGCAAAGCAAGTTCGAAATTCATTCCATTTGTTTTTGTGTACAGTGGTTTACTAACCTATAATTTAAAAAACAAAAACCAAATGTCTTTGGAAAAAATATATGCATGTACCTACATAATAGATAATACTTAATTCGGCATTATTTTTTTTTGTTTATTTACAGCTACTTCATCGCTACTGCCCTATCTGACCATACACATGCAATCGATCGGCTTGACAGTCGAAGAGATTGCCATTATTTATCTGGCGTTACCATTTACCACATTTCTGAGTCCACCAATTACAGGTAAGTTTTTATACTTTCTCTAAGGATTTTACAAATATCTAGTTTCATTAAATTTTAAGTTAAAAAGTTTACAATTAAAGAAGAACAATAAATAAGAACCATGGATGTATGTAGATATTTTGCATATTATTAAACCTTATTTTCGTATAGAAATATTGAGGTTTTAAGATTTAAATAAATGTTGAAAAATTGTCTAGCTCATACAAATAATAATACCTAATAGCAACAAACTTCAAGCTAAGCTTTTTGGGCGCAAAAAAAACGAAAAATAGTAAAAGTGAAAAAGGGAAAATACTGAATCAAAATTTAAAATCTATTTTCCAAAAAATATTGCATTTTATTTCAAGTACTGAATTTATTTCATTAAATCTATTTTCATTATTTTATATCCCATTATGTTCCTTTCCATTACAAGAAAGGACTTTTCTATTCCTTTTCATTCCACTTGTTTCCATTATGTTCCATTCCGTTGTACTCCATTTTATTCTATTGGATTCCACTCCATCTATTTTTACTCCATTTAATTTCATTCCATTACTCTTCTTTCCACCCAGGGCCAGTCAATTTTAATTCCATTGCATCCCTTTCAATTTCATTCCTTTCCCTTTTTTATATTTTTCCCTTTCTTTATTTTATTTAGTTTCTTTCTATTCCACTTCACTTAATTTCTTATTAACTTCATTTACATCCAATTTCACGAAAGCGACTTAAGTGAAATATAATTTTAATTTTTTGAATTTTATATGGAAATTGACAGAAAAAAAACATTTTCCATTTAAATTTTTGGCGAAACCGGCTGTTAATGTCACATCACTTAATTTAACTTAATTTATTTTATTTCATTTCTTCTTTAAATTTTACTTCAATGCATTCCATTCTATTTCAAATCATTTATCTTTATTCGATTTCAATTCACTTCATTATCTTTTATCTCATGTTATTTTGTTTCACTTAATTCTTCACCATTTCTTCTTTTAATTTCGCTTTAATTTATTTCATTGCATTCTATTTCAAATCACTCAATTTAATTCGATTTAAATTCACTTAATTTTACTTCATCTCATCTCATTTAATTTAATTTAATTTAATTTACTTTTATTTTAATTTGTTTTAATTTATTTTATTTTATTTTATTTTATTTTATTTTATTTTA